CGGGATTTTTTATTTTAAATAGAAAACTCGCGACCCTTCTACGCCGTAATACGCTCCACCCTCCGTGGGGACAAACCCCGCAACGCGAAATTAGCATACGGTGAAAAAAAGGGCTGTCTGGCCCTCCGAAACGTACCACCGGTTCATCTCGTGAGCAATATTTTACTCTGGAAACGCGTCCCGTCACCTTATCTCCGGTCCCGGGTTATTTTTCATCCCCCGAGTCGTTACGTTCCTCCGATTCTCGAAAATAATACACCCCTTATCGCGACATCGCGAGTATATCGCGTGGGGCGTTGATTTAGTCTTGACCGCTTCTTCACCGAAACTTTCCACTTAGAGTTGCGTCTGCACTCGGGCCAAACTCTGCCATTATAATTGCGTGCACCGTCAAGGTGCACTTTGCGCAAGTAAAACCAAAGTGCCGAGCTATTTGCGCAATCGGTAGACCAGGCGAAATATTAATTGCCTTAGCCCGGAAATAGCAGCAGGCATTCGCTGGAAAGCAGCCGTGTCCTGTCACGCGTAAAAGTACGATTTCCACGGTGATAGTTGGGAAGCATCGGATTGGAAGCTTGACGATTCTCTTCGGGCAGCGGCCATGTTATTACAGGCGGAAAACCGTGTCGCGATCGCACCGACGAGCGGACACGAAGCGGAAAGATTGCCGTGAATCGCACGGGCAATATTTGGATCCGTGATCAGCGGGAAATATCGAAGAATTTCCGTTCCAACGGAGAGACTCGGGTATATTTGTTTTCTTTCCTCGCCCCTAACGGCGGCGGCGTTATCACGGAGCCCTCGAAGGGATTTTCGAGCCCCGATTTCAGGCTTGGCCCTGCTCCCTCGCCGCCCTTTCGCGCTAGGGCTCTGCGCTGGAACTAATTTCACGGCGAGTCGCTCGATCCCTCCGACTCGTTATTAGATTTCCCACGGCTAGTGTACATGAGCCGAATGAGCGGATCCCTTAGACCCGGCGAGAAATGGGAAAAAGGAGAATGACACTCGCTAGGGGGGAGGCAAATAAACCGGGATTCCGGAGGAGAAAAAGTCGCCGGAAGGGGGACGATATGGACAACGCTGCTAATCGTAGATACAACGAGAAAATTTCGGAAAAATATTTCGCCACTCTCGCAGCTCGCAACAACTGTCCGATATACGCAAAGATAAACGCGATGCTTTCGAACGCGATTAACGTGAAAATCGTTGGAATGTTTTGAAGAGCGAACGACGACTGTTGAATCGAATGCTGCACGCTTTTTCCATACCTATTTTCAATGCTGTTTCGCGAACCAGGCGGTTGAAGGCGCGTGCTTGTGGCAAAAATTCGCTGAAAAATTGCCTGAATTTTAATTAATTCGCCGGCGTGTCCGCCGTCGAGTCTGAGGGTAGTTCTTCGGTCTTTCTTCGCAGGATGCTCGGGGAGAAAGTAAATTTGCGAGAATGGCAAAGAAGTTAAAGTAGAGAGAGATGGAGGGAGATTGGAATATAAGAGATTGGACGGAGAGGAGCGGAGAGATCCTTTCAGATATTCTGTACACGTCAACGGAGGGGAGTTGATGTACAGAGAGGCTGACAGAGAGGGGGAAACAGGGGTTGCCGGGTAACAGAGAGGTGGGATAAGAGTTCCCAGGGGTGCCTAGCAACAGGTTGCTACCCTAAAATTTCGACCGGCGGGAATGAAATGGCTGGGTGGGGATGAGAGCACCTATGAATGTACTGGGTGGTCTTTCTAAAATTATAAACGTTCCTGTGCCGTGGAACGAGGCTGTATCGTCGGGGTAACGACCGGCGCTAATGGCACCTGGCAAATTAGAATACGAGCAGACACGTTTCGCGATAAAACGTCGAAACGCGGGACGACTTTTTAACGCGTTGTATTTTTTATTGGCAAGTCGTTTGACGAGAGAAAAATATGACTCTCTGCCAGTTCTCTTTCAAAGGAGATATGTCTTCCATCGAGATACGCCGTGGTCGTTATACGCCGGGGTGTAAAAGCTTTAGCCGGTGCTATAGCCACCCCGTATATGCTGTGAACGTTCGCGTGAACGCCATCGACACACGCACCTTGACTCGTTGCTTCGCCGAAAGCTGTTGCTGGACAGGTCCACGAGCGTGGATTAACGCGTAACGCAGCGTAGTCTGGTAGCTGTGCCACCATAATGTCAATCGAGCTATTATTGGCGAAGCGATGTGGTAACGCGCTGCCAAGTCTCGTGCATTGCACGGTCAATGAATCTTTCATCGAAATATCGGGGGTAAACAAATTTTTATCGCGAAACATCGAAAATTTCCCTGTCCGCGCGGAAGATGGTTAATTTTCGATATAAATTTAGGTAAACGATTCGTGGAAATTTGATATTTGGGAGATAAACACGGAGAAAACGAGGTTTCCGGTTATTTCATCGTATCGCATGGAGGTTGATTTAATAACGAACCATCTGCGCGAGGATACTATTTGAACAACGTAGGCCGTTGGGCGAGAATTGTTAAAAATGGATAGATTCGTAAACAGATTATCAGCGGCGAAGCGAGGATTTCGGGGCTATTGCTTTCGAACAGGTGGACGTAAGTTAGTTACGCGTGTAATGGATTGGAATTCATTTTGCGCGGGGAATGGAAGAGCGAGATATTAATTCGTTCGTGCAAATAACGACAGTGCGGTGTGTTAGCGCGGAAATCATCGTCGATGAATATTCCGCGCCGCGATTCAATCTGCCGGCTGCCAGTCGGATCAAATCGAAAATCACGTATTGCTGTCTTCGCCGAGGACGTTGTTCGGCTGGAATAGTTTTTCATCTTCGTCAACCTCGGCCCGCGATCCCGTTTCCCCCATTTCCTCCGATTTATTTTATCATAACGATCGCGTTCAATTAGACTCGCGTAGCGCCGGGACGAGCCTCGCGGTGATACAGATCCTCGGTACAATTTACTTAAAGCGGAAATCGAAGAAACTCCTAATGAGATTCGAAAGCTGCCGAGTGCACGCGACCGTGGATCCTCCTAGTTACCTGTTACCTCGAACTCCGCGGAGTGTGCATAATTTTCAAACGAATGCCGGAACTTTGCAAGGGTTGGTTAATTAAAAAACTGCCCCCGATATCGATTCGGCCGGTTGGCGATGAAAACGACGAGTAACGAATTAAGGGAAATAACGATTGAAATTCGCCATGCATGCCATCGAGTGAAATATTCGTTTCATCCTGGCCGCCATGTTGTCAGTACGCTTTCGATACCCTTTAAGCCGAAAGAGGATAAAGAAACGCGCTCGCACACGGGCTCGCTACGAGACGTAATAAGGACAAATGGCCAGGATGAGACTGTGTGTATAAAGAAAGCGAGTCGCTGGAATAAATGGAACACACTTTAGAGGAGGCTTGGGGGAAAAATACATAAGGATAACGAGGGTTCGCGTGGCGACAGAGCACGAGGATGGAATTTACGGTGGCCACTGACTTTCCCTTCCTCTGCGTCCCTATAAATTATAATTATCGAGCATCGCGCTAATCTGACCGACCTTCGTCGACTCTAACTGTCCCGATAAACGTCTTCGAGGCACAGTTTTACCCTGTCGGCCGTTCCACGAATCGGTATCTACGCATCGACGGAAATAATTCCTCCGTTGTCTGCTTTCTCGATAATTAAATCGCTGATATTTATAAACCGGGGGGTGCCTCGTCTACCCCTAGCATGCACGACAGACATTCTCAAAGCGATTCTTCCGAGCGCCGTTTCTAGGGGCTCGAAAAATATTCGACGGCCGTCGAGTTAGGGGTACCGTCTCGCGCGTTTTACGGATTTCGTTGGGGAAAGACGCGAACGAATTTAAACGCGATGCTTTCGAGGGAGGAAAATAGCCTCTCGAGGTGTCTCTCCCGACGAAATTGTTCCGCAAGTTTGAGAACCGCTTGGGCAGAACGACGAAGAAGTTTAACCACTTGGTAGGCCGCTGTCTGACTTTATACAGAGCTTAATCACTTTCGATAGTGACTGGCACGAAGCGGCTGAATTATGGCAAGGAGATAAGTTACTTTGTCGCGTAATTATTCATTTCTTTCGCTCGGTAATGCTCACAAGCACACTGCATTTTATCTCGATTGCGAAGTAAAAAATTAATCCGCGTTACGCCGACTAACCGCGGGCATTGATTATTATTTAGGGCAGTTTCGTTTGCGTCTGGTGTAATATTCTAGTCGTTTAATTAGTTTCCATAATCTCTGGGAAGCACGAGCGGAGATGAGAGGGAGGGCGGGGGAATTCAGCGTGCTAGGAAACGACAAGTCCGATACTTGGAGGACATTTGTAATTAAACGAATATTTCATACACGAATTCGCTGTTAGTTCAATTGATCCGAACGGAACGAGCGGACGGAGCGTTCCACGGTGACTTGTCGATGATTCTATAAACACGGTCACGTATAAATTGAATTAAAAGGGCTGTCGTGTACGAGTTCCTTGGCGAGACGAACGTGCGCTGGCAGTCGTTATCAAACTTTTCCATGCAACGCTGATAAACTGATATCGGCGATCGCGCGAAATTGCCGTTGGAAGCGTAGAAAAATCGGTAATCGGATTCGCCGTATCGTTTTCCTATATCGGGCTACGCTGCAGCACGGCGAAAACGAAGTCGTCGAAGAAGAATCCGTCGATGATCCGGTTCGCGAGGAAGTTAAACAAACGCTCGGGCCCGAGTTCTAGATCGCGTGACTGGTCGTGCTCCTGATACCTGGAGATTAGGCTAGTCAACCTAACCCAATTAAGACGGAACAGTTCTACTGAATTTATTCCTAATCTTCTTAATTCTCGTTCAACCTGTCGCCTCGTCGGATGTGCCAATTTCGTTCGGTCTAGACGTATTCTTTGAATATTCGCACGATTTTCCTCGCACTTCCATTTTTTCCCTCGTTGCGAGGCTGACGTAGACTTTGAAAGGACGCTATGAAAGCACAGTCGGGGATACCAGGACGTTTATTAAAAAGTGACTGTGTGTTTTTTGCAGGATGTTGGGTGGCGTGGGAGGCCGGCACATGTCTACGCGTCGGCGTGGCAGTAGCCCGCTGGTGCGTGCAGGTGCGGGCCTCGCAGGATATGCCGGACCAGGGGCCTCTGGAAACTCGAACGACGTCGCTGCGATACCACCGGATGTGCAGAGATACGCTGCCAGGAGACGCGGAGCGGTTACCACCAGCGACCACAAGAGTTGCGCCCTTGTGCAGACCCGTATCAAATTCGGCGATATCATGTGAGTCACGTTCTATCACTTTTATCACCGCCATCGTTCCTTCCCGTCCGCGATGCTCGATCCAGACGTCAGGGTAAAGCAGAGGAATCGATATGGTCGGTACAGCTTTCCCGCTTGGCGAGGAAACTGTCGCGATAGGGTCGATAATACAGCAACCCTTTCGACGGTGTTATCGCGCGGAATATCACTGATAGGAAATTCGAGGGTAGTTACCCTCGCGTGGAACTTATCAACCGGTAGTATAGGTTACCAGCTATCGTAAATTGTATTCGTGGAGCGGAGAACAGAAGTAGCTATGATCGATGGGAGGTACGGTAGAATGTACGGCTCGTCCGACTATAGGTCGATTGTACTACTGCCAGTAACGCTTGGAACGTTCGCGGTGCGAGTGCCTACTACCCGAAACGTTTGCAGCGCGATGATTTTGCCACGATATAGTCTCGATTCGTTACCAGCGACGCGTAATTAGCGTATCGCGATCGATTTGCTGGTACGAGAATGAACGGGTTTTACGCGATGCAAGATGGCGACAGGCATAGGTTGCGGCTGACCACAGCGGAGTATGCACTACTGCGGCTGAATTAAGGTGTAATGTGGCGGGGTGTCTGTACTCTCGGCGTGGGCTTCGTTGCTTTTTACGTTATCGATTAGTCTTCGATTGTTTGCCCATTACCCTTTATTTTTAGCACAGACTGTCGTTGTCCGTTCCGCTAAATTTAATTACGATTTCGTGCATTCGATTTTCCTTCCTCCGTCGCGATTCTCGCACAGTTCTCGGGGAATTGAATTACCCCGGACCTTTTTCCGTGTCCTCGGACCTATGAATTGAAAATGGGACCGTCTATAGAATTTCACTCTCCGCGCCGAATAACCGGGCGGAATTGCAAGGGTTGGCTTTTAAGCACGGCACGAGGAACAGGCTAAACGGGACACCCTGCTCTGATTTTTATCGCCAACGTCTCCTTTTCCGCGATTAATCGCGCAGCACTCGTCGCCGGAATCAGTTTCGAAGGTGACTGCTCTAACCCTTTAAAAATAGAATCAATAAAAGGAATCGACGTTACGTGGAAGTAGGTCTGCGCTATCGTGACCAAAATCGTCAAGGTTCTCGACCTTTGCTATTAGGGCGGTCACAGACGTCGATTTCGCGATTTCGTTTCTCCCCGACTACTCCTGTCCGGATTCAAACTCCCAATCGACGTTCTCTCAGTTGCCATTCGTTAACGAGCGAATCGATGCCGGTGCACATACCATCGTTCATCTCGCAAAGACGTGTGCTCGAATGGCACACGCATTTCTCGGATTCTCGGTGCTGCTAAATGGCTGCAACCGCGCAGGGCTGCACAAACCGAATCGGACTTTGGTGAAATTCACCCGTGGACCAAACTACGTTACCGAGCCGATTACTACTACATCGTGCTCCTCGTGCAAATCGACGCGTGTCTGCGAACACGCGGTGATGAACGGGGCAGAGAGATACCGAAAGTAAATAGGTCGAATGGAATCTGGACATGATCCTTCGCTGATCGGTGGGGCGAACGGGTCTCGCAACCTTTCGGAGGTTTCCGGTTACGTGGTCCCTTTATCCACGGTCCGGAGAAAAGGGCTGGTCGGTTGTCCGTGAAACCGCAAGCAGATTCGGGGACGTCCGACGCGCGATGGTCGGTTTGGACGGGATCGGTAGGAAAGCGTAGAGTCGAGCCGTTTCTCGGTCTCACCCCTTCTCTGGTCGGTGGTGTGTCACTGTGGTGAATCGAGTCAGAGTCTCAGAGTCGCGAAGTCGAGTCGGCTCGGTCGTGTGTTTCAGGCTGGTTGCCGGCTGCCGCCGTGAATCAATACCCGCATTGCGCGTGCCACCTCTCTTTCTCTCTCCGTCGTCTCCCTTCTCGCTCAACCTACCCCTCCAGCCCGTTCTCTGCGTGGTCGTCTCTGTCTCGCGTCGTGCCATTCTCTCTTTCCACTTCGTCGTCTCTCTGTCTCTCCCTCCAACCTCGCTTCTCTTTCTTCCCTTCGTTTCCCGTGCACCCCTCTGTCTTTGCTCCTCTCTCTTCCACCCTCGCCGATCTCTCGTCTCCTTCGCTCCGCGCTCCCTATCTCGGTCGCGTTATCACAGTGTCCGTTTCATCGGCTCCCTCTCTTCCCGTCTGCGAAAACGTTCCTTCGACTTTCTTCCTGCCCGCTCGAAGAAAGCGGACACGGCGGAAAGGAGTAGGGGTAAGAAGGGGCGAGAACCGGAGACAGGCGTGGAGAGAAAGTGACGAGCATGGGACGCGTAGAGTCTAGAACGCACCACGGGGAGGGTTGGCCGATGACATCGACCTCTAAGGGTTATCCAGGCCCGCTGCGACGCGAAAACCTCCGTCCCACGACTAGTTTCTCGTCTTTCCTTCGATTCTTCGACCGGCCGAACGGCAAAGAGAACGAACGCGAACTGGAGACCGCGGGGCGAGCAAAGCGTAACGCTGACGCGCGTAACGGTAGAAAAATCGTAGAAAAATCGTGGGCTCGAAGATCATTGCGATAGTACAGGAGATTTTCTCTGAATAATTCGCGTCGCATCCGTGGACGTTGAAAGATGGGACAAAAGGCGCTTAGAGATACTCGATGTCGACCTGTCGACGTCTAACCCTGTCGTTCCGTTGCAACGTTCAAAGATTTTCGCGATGCCGTTGATTCCCGATACCGTCGCGATGAAAACAACTGCAACGTCCCGGGGTCAGTAAACTCGAGGACCGTGGTTGCTGCGGTGGCGGCAGTTTCGCGCAGCCCCTTCTGGGAATGATATTTTCTCATAAGTCGGTGAGAGCGTAACGGGTGTCCGGCTACTTGCCGGGATTTTATTTCGAAAAATAAAACGATGGTCCCGCAAACGTTATTTCACCGTCATAAATCCGTATCGGAAACGCGAGCTCGAAGACCATATACGCGGAATCGCTGCGATACCTCTAGAATCTCAGTCGCGGGGGTCCGATCAATTTCGGATTAATTACCAAACGTGAACGATACGCGTATTTTCGTCCTGGAATCCTTTTCAGGTCTCGTCTTAATTTACCTTCCGTTGCTTCAATTCGAGCACTCGCGTATTTGTATATTTTATTGTAATTGCAGCGAGTAATCGGGGTTGGAGGAAGAATGCCGCGGCCATATTAACCATTTTTCGGGCGTAGCCGTTGCGATTCTTTCTCGCGTCGGAGGATTAATTCGATCGCGTAAGCCGTCGATAACGAATTGGAAAGCAAGCCGAGAGATTGTCGCGGAGAAGGGTGTAGTTGTCGCGGCGGTAAAAGCATTGGACAGTTTCGTCGGGGGTTCATAGCTTTGTCGAGATAATTGATTTTGCGGTATTAGGGCGGCGTTAGCGCGGGCGGCGCGGTCGATAGGTTGCTCGAAATTAGCCGAGACGATAAAGGGGCAGAGGCGAGAAAGGTGTCGGGAAAGGAGGAGAATCTTATAAAGACGAGTACGCATCACGTGTACCGATAAGTACGTTAACGTGAGGGAGACGGATTAATTTGCGAATGACCGATCGAAAGCGAAAGAGATGGCACGACGCGGAAACCTTATGGTTCTATCCTCGGTATAAGGAGACGTAAATCCATTTGGCTTTGCTTCGATGCAGAACAGCCCTTACGTTAGAAGACCAATAGATGACGAAGCTAACGGGGTTCAGATGACTTGACTTACGAAGCCCCGACCGTGCTCTCTCTCGGTGCAACGCACCGTTTTCCTTTCGTTATGCCTATCGATGAAGTCGTCGCGAATGCAGGTCATACGATCTGCTCCACTTTTCCTCGACGTTACTCCCTCTCGATCGAATGGTATCGAGAGCGGTATCGTTGGCAAGAAGATTCCAAGACGATGGTCCAACGTGTTCGACGCATCTTGTCCGAGCGAGCACAGAGAAGACTTCTTTTGATCGCTGGAGCGTCTTCGAAAAGCGCCACGTCCCTTCGTCGTCCTCGAGCTTTCGATCGAAAGTACACCGAGCGGAGGCGTGAACCGGTACGCGATCAACGTCGGCTCGATCGATCAGCAGATATTAAATTAACGGAGCGCGTGTTCTCGTGGACGATTTTAGCCGGGCTGGAAAGTCGGATGCTCGATCGGCTGTGTTACATCCGACGCTCTCGGCCGATCTTCATTGGCGACCTACCCAGTGACGTCACCTGCGCGCTTTGACAGACCGATCGAATGATTCGATTAAAATTTTCCCAGTCCAGCCCTGCCTCTGATTAACCGCCATTCGTCGGAGGTTGCTTCTCTCCTCCTCGTCTCGCCGCTCTCCAAACCCACACCGTTGTTTTCGTCCTCCTCGCGCTCTCCTCGCGCGGAAATTCGTAGCCTCTCCACGAGAGCCAAAGCCTCGCGATGGAACAACTCGAAATTTCGCCGCGGTTATCGTCGCGAGGGCCCTTGTCCCATCGATCCAGCGTTTCGACGAACGCGCAAACATCCCCAACGAGGATCATATTTTTCCAAGGGATGCAACTAAATAGGGCCCGATAACGCGGGATCGCTTTACGCAGCCCGTGTGTGCGGTCGAAGGTTGAAGCTGCGTTGCGCTATAAATAGGACGCCCGCAATTAATGGGTCGAAGTTAACGCTTTGTGCTCGAATATAGAGTCGCAGTCGATAAACGGGGCAGAGCGTGGCTTCCGTACAAATTTTACGTCGAGTGCCGTCAAAGGTATTTATAAAATACTCTTCGGGGGATAATTATTCTCTCGCGTTGGTGCAAAGTGGCGAAAAGGTCCTCCCCTTTTCGGTAAAATTCGCGTTTTCACCAGGGCAGGGGTCGGTGGATCTTTCGTTTTTCACAAATTTTCGTCATCGTCGAAATTCGAAATTTGTTCCAGTCGAACGAATAGGTACGCTTCCAATAACTCTGTCGTCCGTGTCACCGTCGTGGTTCTTAAATACCTGCGAACCCTGCGTAGATGTCGAGGTAAAAGCCACGGAGAGAGCGGTACTTTCTCCCATACGCTTTAACCTTCGACCTTTCGT